TGGATGAAACTGGAGCCCATTATACAGAGTGAAGTAAGCCAGAAAGATAAAGACCATTACAGTATCCTAACACATATTTATGGAATTTAGAAAGATGGTAATGATGACCCTATATACAAAACAGAAAAAGAGACACAGATGTACAGAACAGACTTTTGGACTCTGTGGGAGAAGGCGAGGGTGGGATGTTTCGAGAGAATAGCATCAAAACATGTATATTATCTATGGTGAAACAGATCACCAGCTCAGGTTGGATGCATGAGACAAGTTCTGGGGCCTGGTGCACTGGGAAGACCCAGAGGGATCGGGTAGACAGGAAGGTGGGAGGAGGGATCCGGATGGGGAATACATGTAAATCCATGGCTAATTCATGTTAATGTATGACAAAAACCACTACAATATTGTAAAGTAATTAGCCTCTAACGAATAAAAATAAATGTTGATGTTCAGTCTTGCCATCTCCTGTTTGACCACTTCCAATTTACCTTGATTCATGTACCTAACATTCCAGCTTTCTATGCAATATTATTCTTTTCACTATCAGAATTTACTTTCATCACCAGTCACATCCATGATTGGGCATTGTTTTTGCTTTGGCTCAGCCTCTTCATTTATTCTGGAGCTATTTCTCCACCCTTCTCCAGTACCATATTGGGCACTTACTGACCTGGGGAGTTCATCTTTCAGGGTCATATCCTTTTGCCTTTGTTTTTTTTTTTTTTTTTTTTTTACTGTTCATGGGATTCTTAAGGCAAGAATACTGAAGTGGTTTGCCATTCCCTTCCCCAGTGAACCACGTTTTGTCAGAACTCTCCACCATGACCCATCCATCATATGTGGCCCTACATGGCATGCTCATAATCTAACTGAGTTAGATAAGGTTGTGATCCAAGTGATCAGTTTGGTTAATTTTCTGTAATTTTGGTTTTCATTCTGTCTGCCCTCTGATGGATGAGGATAAGAGACTTGTAGAGGCTTCCTGATTGGAGGGATTGGCTGTCAGGGAATCTGGGTCTTGCTCTGACATGCTTAATAAATCTGTAATCTAATTTTCTCTTGATAGGTGAGGGTGTGTTCCCTCCCTGTAGTTGGCTTGAGGCCGAGCTATCGTAGGGGTATTGGCAACCTCCTTCCAAATGGTTTGTGCCAGGACTGTTGTATTCGGTGTCCCTGACCCCACAATAGCCATGTTGACCCATGCCTCCCCTGGGGACTCTTGGACACTCACAGGAAAGTCTGCCTCAGTCTCTTGTGAGGGTCACTGTTCCTTTCTCCTGGTTCCTAGTGTGCACAAGGTTTTGTTTGTGCCCTCTAAGTCTCTTTCACGATGGAATATTACACAGCCATTAAAAAGAATTCATTTGAATCAGTTCTAATGAGATGGAGTCCCATGGATGTTCTGTAATCAAATCCCAGTGGACTTTAAGGTCAAATTCCCTGGGGGTTCTCAGTCCCTTTGCTGGATCCCTATGTTGGGAGATCTGTTGTGGGCCTTAGAACTTTCATAACAGTGTGAGAACTTCTTTGGTATAATTGATCTCCAGTTTGTGGGTTGTCTATTCAGTGGCTCTATGGTGGAGGTCACACATTGTGCTTCCCCATTCTGATGAAGCCGCAGCCCCTGTCCCCACAGCAGGCCACTGCTGACCCATGCATCTCCAGGAGACACTCAAAGGCAGGTGTGGCCCAGACCTATATCCATGTTTTAAAAATGTAACCAGTGTGCTGTTTGTATTAACTTGAATGCAAGAATCTCATTTTGAGGTGTTATCTTCCTCTGCCCCACTCTTTCTTAAGGACTGTTAAGGGTTAATGTTATCTGCAAGGTGACAACAGCCTCGGGAGGAGCAGCCTACACCTGGTGTATAAAGGCAAAGTCTGGAGGAAGAAGAGGTTCAGGGTGAAGAGTGTCAAGAAAGGTTTGCAGTTTGAGTTATCAGTCTCAAGGAGAAAAAAAGAAGTGAATCCTCATCATTTTATCATGGTATTCAGAACCAGAGGCAGGGACCTTGGGAAAGTGAAGAAGAGAAAAAGAAAGAAAAATGTCAAAAAAAAAATAGGGATATATGGGGGCAAGAGGAGGGAGAAAATCTGAGAAAATATGATTGGGTGTATGATCACATTGATTTGCTGTTGCTCTTTAGTCTCTAAGTCGTGTCCAACACTTTTGCAACTCCATGGACTCTAGCTCACCAGGCTCCTCTGTTCAGCTGAGTTCCCAGGTGAGAATACTGGAGTGGGTTGCCATTTTCTTCTCCAGGGGAATCTTTCCAGCCCAAGGATCAAACCTACCTCTCCTTCATTATCAGGTGGATTCTTTATTACTGAGCCACCAGGGAAGCCCAATCACATGGTTACTGGCCTCAAACACAAAAATTTGCTATTCCTAGTGAAAAATGGAATCAGCTCATTTCAGTCACTCAGGCGTGCCTGACCCTTTATGACCCCATGGACTGCAGCACACCAGGCCTCGCTGTCCATCACCAACTCCTGGAGTTTATTCAAACTCATGTCCACTGAGTGAGTGATGCCATCCAACCATCTCATCCTCTGTCGTCCCCTTCTCCTCCTGCCTTCAATATTTTCCAGCATCAGGGTCTTTTCCAATGAGTCAGTTCTTTGTATCAGGTGGCCAAAGTATTGGAGTTTCAGTTTCAGCATCAGTCCCTCCAATGAATAATCAGGACTGATTTCCTTTAGGATGGATTGGTTTGATCGTGCTGTCCAAGGGACTCTCAAGAGTCTTCTCCAATACCACAGTTCAAAAGAATCAATTCTTTGGCTCTCGACTGTCTTCATAGTCTAATTCTCACATCCATACCTGACTACTGGAAAAACCATAGCTTTGATTAGATGGACATTCGTTGGCAAAGTAACATCTCTGCTTTTTAATATGCTGTCTTAGTTGGTCATAACTTTTCTTCCAAGGAGTGAGCGTCTTTTAATTTTGTGGCTGTAATCACCATATGTAGTGATTTTGAAGCCCCCCAAAATAAAGTCTGCCACTGTTTCCATTGCTTCCCCATCTATTTGCCATGAAGTCATGGGACCAGATGCCATGATGTTAGTTTTCTGATTGTTGAGTTTTAAGCCAAATTTTTCACTTTCCTCTTTCATTTTCATCAAGAGGCTCTTTAGTTCTTCACTTTCTGCCATAAGGGTGGTGTCATCTGCATATCTGAGGTTGTTAACATTTCTCCCAGCAATCTTGATTCCAGCTTGTGCTTCTTCTAGCCCAGCGTTTCTCATGATGTACTCTGCATATTAGTTAAATAAGCTGGGTGACAATATACAGCCTTGACATACTCCTTTGCTGATTTGGAACCAGTCTGTTTTTACATGTCCAGTTCTAACTATTGCTTCCTGACCTGCATACAGATTTCTCAAGAGGCAGGTAAGGTGGTCTGGTATTCCCATCTCTTTCAAAATTGCTGAGTTTTCCAAATTTGCTGGAGTGTTGAGTGCAGCACTTTCACAGCATTATCTTTCAGGATTTGAAATAGCTCAACTGGAATCCCATCACCTCCACTAGCTTTGTTTGTAGTGATGCTTCCTAGGGCCCACTTGACTTTGCATTCCAGGATGTCTGGCTCTAGGTGAGTGATCACAGCATCGTGATTATCTGGGTCGTGAAGATGTTTTTTGTATAGTTCTGTGTATTCTTGCCACCTCTTCTTAATATCTTCTGCATCTGTTAGGTCAATACTATCTCTGTCCTTTGTTGTGCCCATTGTTGCATGAAATGTTCCCTTGGTATCTCTAATTTTCTTCAAGAGATCTCTAGTCTTTCCCATTCTGTTGTTTTCCTCTACTTCTTTGCAGTGATCACTAAGAAAGGCTTTCTTTTCTTTGAATTGATCACTGAGGAAGGAGATATGGAATAATTTCTGCCATATGAATAAACAAAGGATATCACAGTTGTAAGCAATTGCAGCCACCATGGAAGGTGAGCTAGTGAGCCCTGAGGGTATTCAGGATGGAAATAGTGCCTGCCATCTAGTAGCCATAAAACTGCAGCCATTCCCTATGGTGAGTCCTGAGGAAGCTCAGGATGTGAAAACAGGCTACTGGCCCCAGATAGTTGAGGGGCATATCAAAGGAATAATTTCAGTAAGCCTAATCTCTTGCATCTTCCTTTACATAGAAATGCACTAAATTTCTCAACTTGGGATATCTGGTTTTCTTTCAGTTACAAAACATTTTTGACATTCAGACTACCTACACTTTGTTGCAAAACTTCTATATAACCTGTCCCCCACTTCCCTGCCTCCTCAGAGCAGTTCTCTCAGGGTCACTTGAGCTGCTGTCTTCCGGACTTGAAGTCCTAAAAATTCTCACCAAACAAAACATAAAACTCAACTTCTAGGTTGTGAATGTTTTTTAAGGAGATTACAAATAAATATGTATGCACATGTATTTGTGTGCTATGTTCTGACTAGCTGGCTGATGAGGTGCTCTTTAAGAAGAGTAAGGACCAGAGTTACTCAAAGGTGCTCCCTTAAGAAGAGTGAAGACCCAAGGTTATTCCAACCTCCCACCTGGATCTGAGCCAGACCCTGGGGCAAGATCAGGGAGGATATCCTTGAAGAATGCTGCAGGTAGATTTTTCCCAGTGGAAACGGTGGCTGGAGAGGGAGCCCCAGATTCCTCCAGCCAGTACTCTTCAGCCTCAGACCTACCTCACTGGGAGCCAGACTGCCCAACCCAGCATGCCAGAGCTGCAGTGACACCCTCCGCCGCATGGAGGCAGCATGACCTACAGCTCGGTGGCAGCGGCCATTCCCCACGTTCCTCTTGGCGGCAGCGGGCGGAGGTCGTGTGGCGGAGGCCGGCCCGCGGAGCCCTCGCTGATTGGCCGCGGTGCTGCCGCTGCCATGTTGGCCAAAGTGATGCTCTCTGCCGGGGCAAGTGGCTCTGGCTACAGCTGCCTGGTCGGTATGCACATGGTCTTCCTTCTTCCCCTTGCCCGCAGTTGGCGCTGAGAGGTGGCCTCCGGCGGGATGGAGAAAAGTAGGATGAACCTGCCCAAGGGGCCGGACACGCTGTGCTTCGACAAGGATGAGTTCATGAAGGTGCGCCCAGGGGTCTGGGCTCCCCAAGCCAAGGCGGGTGGCCTATCTTCCTTTTGAAATGTTGTTGCTGAATGATTGGATGCGGGATTCTTGGCCTCCAGAGGAGACGAATTCAATCCAGGGCCAGAGATGATGCTGGATCACTCAGAGATTTTTTGTAATAAAGTTTTATTAAAGTATAAAAGAGATAGGGAAAGCTTCTGACATAGGCATCAGAAGGGGGCAAAAGAGTACCCCTTTCCTAGTCTTTAGCTGTATGTTATATAGTCACTCACAGTCTGTTAATGAAAAGAAAGGAATGTCATAAAATTTAGAATGGCACCAGATAATTCATCTCTGGCCATAAAATGATTGACTTGAATCTTGTAGAAGGGCAGAATACCAACAAATAGTTTCATTTACATAGATTAGGGGAACAATACCTGAGTAAGTAAGTTAGGCCGTTTGGCGGAACCAACTTGAAGATAGAGTCTGGGGTTCTTTAACATGGCTTAAGACAACATTTCCATAAGAAAAAGAAATGTATTGGTTAACTCAAGGTTTGAGAGTAGTTAGCTTCAGGTGAGACCAGGTGTCATGGCAACACAGCGTGTTGAGAGAAACCTCCTTTTAAATTTGTGTAGAGAAGAAAAGACATCGCTGGTTTGTTTCTTCCTGCCGCTTAAGAGAGATAAAAATGTCTGGTACCTGCAGCCTCTTTCCTTCATTTGGAGACCCCTGGCCTTCCTGCCTGTTACCCTCTCACTTTCCCTCCAGGGGCCTCCTCGGGCTGCTGGGCCACACACGCCCCGGATCTGCCCCCGGCGGGACCTCGCTGCCAACGCAGTGAGTCTTTTGGCCTCAGGTGGGGCCGGGGCAGCCTGCTGTGAGAAGGCACTTCTGTGAAATGGTGCATAGTGACGAAAAGGCCTGAAGTGGTGTGCAAGTGGTTTTGAGCTAGGTGTAAAAGCTCTGGTTATTACCCGAGCCCATTCCCATGCAGTGCATTCGGAATTGCCAGATCCTGGGCAGACAGAAGTTTGTCGATCGCCGCCTTGCACCTAGAATCTCAGTACCAATGTATAGACCAAATATCTGGACCCATGTCTCTACCCAGGGATTAGGTGGGTGGAAAAGGCACTCAATCGAAAGTTTTTCCTTAATGTTCAAATAAAGTTTCTGAATGGGATATTTACAAGATTAGAATTTTATTACTGATTTTGTTGCAGTACAACAAAGTAAACCATTTTGCTTCTCTAAAGTTACTCTACTTTTTATAAGGTGAACTTGAGGTTGATCTGAAGGTAAATGTTAGCTTACATGAAGAGTTGAAATATGATGGATATTAAAGGTTTATCCGGCACAGCCTTGAAAATGTCCAAGATTTGAATCAGAGCTGGGAGGGACTTTGCATATTCTTTTGGGGTAATGCACTGGAACTGTACATACACCATCAAGAAATACAGGTATGCTTTATTTCTAAGGATTGGGGTTTTTTATACCACTTAGTGGCTGCTTTCAGCGTTAAAAAGTTAAATATTTTGGCTCAGTAGACACTTAAACTTTTGAGCAACTGAATTTAAGTGTTACTTTTTTTTATGACTTCAAGACTTAGTATGTTTTTTGCCTTTTAGCTTCATTAGTTTATCATTTTGATGCTTGCATTCAGTTCACAGTCTCTGGTTTTAAACAGTATTTACATCTGTTCTTTTTTATAGCTGAGTAGTATGTACCACATGGACATGAGCTTGGGCAAACTTGGGAAGATGGCGAGGGCCGGGGAAGCCGGGTATGCTGCAGTCCACAGGGTTGCAAAGAGTCAGACATGACTTGGGGACTGAACAACACATCTTCTTTATCCACTCCTGTGAACTTTTAGATTGTTTCCATGTCTTGGCCATTGCAAATAGCGCTGCAGTGAATACTAGGGTGCGTGTATCTTTTCAAATGATGATTTTCTTCAAATATATGCCCAGGAGTGGGGTTGCTGAATGATATGGTAGTTCTATATTTAGTTTTTAAAGGAACTTCCATATTGTTCATCAAAAAGAGTAAAATAATGCCATTTGCAGCTACGTGGATGGACGTGGAGATTATCATACTAAGTGAAGTAACTCAGACAGAGAAAGACAAATATATCATTTATATGTGGACTCTAATAAAAATGATACGTGCACGTGTGTATGCTCAGTCTTAAGCAACTCTTTGAAACCTCATGGACTGTAGCCTGCCAGGCTCCTCTGTCCATGGGATTCTCCAGGAAAGAATCCTGGAGTAGTTTTCCATTTCCTTATCCAGGGGATATTCTTAACCCAGGGGTGAAACTCACGTCTCCCATGTTTGTTTGCACTGGCGGGTAGGTTGTTTACCACAGAGCCACCTGGGAAGCCTGAAAAGTGATAACAGATGAACTTATTTACAAAACAGACTCACAGATCTCAAAATTAAATTTATGGTTCAGTTACTTAGCTGTGTCTAACTCTTTGCAACCCCATAGACTGCAGTACGCCAGGCCTCCCTGTCCCAGTGCCAACTCCCAGAGTTTACTCAAACTCATGTCCATTGAGTTGGTGATGCCATCCAACCATCTCATCATTTGTCATCCCCTTCTCCTCCTGCCTTCAATCTTTCCCAGCATCAGGGCCTTTTCCAATGAGTTAGTTCTTTGCATCAGATGGTCAGAGTATTGCAGTTTCAGCATCAGTCCTTCCAGTGAATATTCAGGACCAGTCTCCTTTAGGATGGACTGGTTGGATCTCCTTGCAGTCCAAGGGACTCTCAAGAGTCTTCTCCAGCACCACAGTTCAAAAGCATCAATTCTTCGGTGCTCAGCTTTATTTATGGTCCAACTCTCACATTCGTACATGACTACTGGAGAAACCATAGCCTTGACTAGCTGGACCTGTATGGTTACCGAAGGGGAAGCATGGGGAGAGGTGATGAGTTAGGAGACTGGGATTAACATATACACACTACCATATGTGAAACAGATCAGCAGAGGTTCACTGTGCAGCACAGGGAGCTCTGCCCAGCACTTCAGTGACCCACGTGGGAGAGAAGCCCAGAGCAGAGCAGGTCCACGTGTGCACACAGACGAGCTACTCTGCAGCATGCCTGGGACTGGCACAGCAGTGTATGTCAGCTGTAGTAAAAAAAAACTAAGTGATGTAGTTTAAGAAAAAAGCTGTTACATCTGGTCTTCTCCAGTGTGGCCATGTCATTTTTATCATGCAAGCCATCTAGACCCAGGAATAATGTACTCTTGTCCTTATACATTGAGGTTTCTGCTAAACCTCTGTGATGAAGGGCGTCATTTGAAAGGGAGTACCATGTGAGCTTGCCGATCCAGAAATGCTTTGTTCCTTCTGCTGGCTGAGAACTGTCCTGGAGCAAGGGTAGGAAGAAAGAGCATGATGAGGCGAGGTGTGCTGAAAGAAGCCAAGGCACAAGCAGAGATGAAGGGCTTTGCTCTGTTCAAGAATCTCAGAATACAGAGAGCTTAAATTGACCAACTTTTGCCTTCTTCAAGGCTTCCTTCAGGCTCAACACCAGCATTCTTTCTGACTTGCTAACCCCACCATGTTTCTTGCTCTGAACTGAGAGAAAGCCTTTGGAAAGAGAGGTTTCAGAAAGTAGAAACCTCAAAATAAGTTCTAAAGTATACCTTGATGAAGGGGAGAGCAAACTGGGGAGGTGGCTGAAATGGCAGCAGTTTCATATTCTTTCATGCCTCCTACGCCTCTGAATGCGCTCTGTAATTTGTAGTGCTAATAAATGTGACCACTTCACATGTAAAAGCAAAATACATAGGACAGCGGCCCTGTGTTAAATGTTGATTTTCTAAGTGAGACTTGGAGATAAAGGTTACTTGCAATTTATGTTTCCTTCAGAGAGACATTTTAAAAGTTTTGGTCATATGGCAGAAATAATAGAGAGTTTGCCTTTAGGGTTATATTTCTTAAGTCTGTCTGATTCAATGCATATTGTAATTTGTGCCTGTGAGAAAGTTAAAGAATGTCTGATTTGCATTAGGAGAATGGAGGTTACTCAAAAAAATCCAGTCATTGGAAACTTTGTTTCCAGTCAAAGGAAACTTTGTTACACACGTGATGAGATCCTGTTAGGAAAATGGTAGCAATCATTCATTTAATAAACAGGCACTCATTGATCACCTTGGAGAAGGAAATGGCAACTCACTCCAGTCTTCTTGCCTACAGAATACCATGGACTGAGAAGCCTGGTGGGCTACAGTCCATGGGGTTGCAGAGAGCTGGACACGACTGAGTGTCTATCACTTCACTTCACTGATCACCTGCTTTGTGTCCACCAGCAGTCTAGACTGGATAGTACAAGGGTAGATAAGATTTAGGCTTTTGAGTGTGGTCACAGAAAGACCACAGTGTGTGCTGAGAAACTGGACTTAGTCCAGAGAGGCTAGTCATCCAAAGATGACCAGAATTGAGACTGGAAAAGTAGAAAGACAGCCAGGTGGGACTGCAAGTATTTCTCATGTACTGCACTGAGGGGGTTGCACTTGATGAGTTACAGTCAGGTGGAAAGCAGGAAATGACGTAGTCATGTCTGTTGTATTGAACCCGTGTTAGAGGATGCTATGCCACTGGTTACTTCAAGTTAATAGAGGGTTCTGTTTCAAGGGGAAATTATGTTGGATTTGAACTGATGAGCTAATATTTTCATTTGGGCCATTCTTGCACATGTATTTCAGTCCTAACTCAGTGTTGTAGTGGTATCTCAGACTTTTAGGAAGTTATTTAACAAATGCTTAAGAAAAAAACAACTACCTTTCTGAACACACAGAAAAAAGGATACTTAAAATGCTTCAGTGGTCCTTGTAAGATCTAATGAGAAATACAGAGCAGAGGACAGATTTGTAAAAGATGTAGGTGATCAGAAGACAAGAGTGGCAGATGGGAGTAGAGGTAACATCACTTGGGGACCTCTGTCACTTGGTAGTAGAGGTGGTGATGACATCATATCATTAGTTTTGTCAGCTTAAAAAA